GTCTGTCTGTCTGTCTGTCTGTCTGTCTCTCTCTCTCTCTGTGTGTTTTGGAAGCAGGAGAAGTCTTTCGAACAAACCATAGGCTTGCAGCCACCAACAAAGGAATGCTTCTCTCTATGGAACCCAGACACTTTCTTGGAAATAAAAATGATGCTTGAAGCTGGCTCCATGCTTTGCATCATGTTAGTTTTCTATTTGATTTTTAAATTAAAAGCTTCTAACCCAGTGGACCCCAGAGCTTGGCAGCCAGCAAGAAAGGTGTAGAAAGCAAATAAGAATCTGCCTGGTTAAGATATCTTTCCTAGAGTTACATTATGAGAAAATAAGAGGGGAAAATTCTTTGTCTTGTAAACCTCACATGTCACAAACATGATTAGATAATCAAGATGAAATAAGTTCAGTCTGAGTCCAGACATTTCCCATTTTACTTTTAAATTATCTTGTTTTATTTGATACTTAGAATCAAATAGCAATGGATCAAGAAATATCTTTAAATTCCGAGGAAGTTAATGTGGATTTTAATGGCGTGTATTTTTCTATAATTTGTCAGGATGTGCAGTGAGGATCAAGCAGAGGTTCCAGTGCTTTATAAGGATGTCTCATCTCTTTTGCTCATCCAGATCTTAACCATGCCTCAGCCACTGCGCAAAGGTATGTTACAAAAGTTACATAAATAATAAACAGAACAGTAGTTTTTCCTCTCTTGCACTTTTTAAGAATGGCAACAAATTAATCTTGTTTGCTTGGGATACTTCGGTAATGACATTGCCTTGCCTCTGGAAGTTGGCAGCGGGCAGAATTTTTGTTGTGGCTTTGACAGACTTATCTGTAAATCTTCTCAGCTTTATCAAATAACAATGGAGGCCCAAGAATTCTTTGAGTTGCAGGAGTATGGGAAGATCTTTCTCTTTGACCTTCCTTCATTTGTTTGCTGCATGAGAGTGTTGAATATTTCACATTGAATTGTGAGTGCTGGACAGTGGAGGGGGGTGAATAATTTATTTTATTTTTATTATGCAAACTGGCATTTTTGGCACATAGGACAGTGGTAATTGTATAACAGTAGTTGTAATGATTGCTGCATATACATATATTCAAGCATTTTATTGGAGTCTGAGGACATCTTGGTAGCAGGAACTATTTATTACTGCATATTTTGAAAGCTTTTAATTTTACGATTTTGAAAATGCTAGCCTAATTCCTTTTACACAGCTATAATACAGGATACATTTTGTTACTTTGTTACATTATAAAGCAACATTTTACTTTTTATAAGGTCAATTGACATGCTGCTGGCTTCACTTTTGTGATTTTTTTTATACCCCAGCTGAGTTATTTTAAAGGCATAATCAGCTGTGCAAGCATTTTTTTCTCTATGAATAAATGAAGATAAAATTTGTCTACAGTTAAAAACAGCCTTAAGGAGGCAGAAGATGGACACTGTAAGAGCTCATCAGAACTCTGAATATTTTTTAAAAATAACAATTATACTGATTTTTAAAAATCTGTTCACTGTAGGGAAATAGAGCTTTTCTTTTCTTAACTTGAAAAAGATTTGCCATTGGTTTGCAATTCTCATGAATTGTAAAAATACATGAAAAGGAGCAGGTAAACTAATTTTTTCTTTCTGCTGCCTGGAATGAGCAGTCAGGATTGTGGCTAATGGAAGGTTTTCTCTCAGTGCTAAGAGCAGCTGCAGGAGTAGGGCAATCTGCTTTGGGAATATGGGAGGAACAAAGTGTTTCCACTTCAGTTCCATTCACGATTGCACCTCCTTGCAGCTAATGTGTGTGTGTGTGTATACACATACACTCATACATTTAGCATATAAGTATACACACACACATACATATACAGACACATAGATGCTAAATGTGTGAGTACCATCCTATTTAATCTAGCTCTCATTTAGATCCATTCATGGCAGTGAATCCTTTGATATTTATTAGCTAAGTTAGTATAGTGGTATGGTGTGGTCAGTTGCCTGGGAACTAAACAGGCTAATGAGACAGTTATATGATGGGAAGAAAACCTCAAACCCGGCAGTTTGAGAATGAACTAAAAGTACCAGGTTATGCCAAAGCTAACAGATGTAGAACTTAGAAACAAGATCTCTGGAATACAATATTCAAGGCATGGGTGGGGAACCTCTGGTCCTTCTGGCAATGCCTAACTACAACTCCATTCGTTCTGACCAGCACAGCCAAGGATTAAAGGATATCAGGAGCTGTAGTCCAGCAAATCAGAAGTGCAAATACTTGTTCTTAAAGCAGGCTTGTTTAGCATGAATCCAGCATTATGCTATGGACTATTTGTGGAAGGAAGGCCAATCCTGTTTACCTTAAATTATGAGAACCATAATCTAGAATGTCATTCAGCTGTAGCAATAACTGTAACATGTACTGTAATGTCATTCAACATTAGCAAGCCCCCTTTCAGTTCTGACTACACTGTTTCAAGAAATATGTTAAATTTAAAAAGAAGTATAGAAACATTCAAAACAATCTGTGGATTCTGTGAGAATCTAGAAAACAAACTCTGAAAGAGGATGGTTAGTTGCAGATTTATAAATTATAGACCGGCTTATCAAGGAATTCCTGTATCTATAATTATATCTTTCTGCACATTGCTAAGTTTAGGTGATTCTGAAGGACAGACAACAAGATATTTGTCTACACGTTTTTCAGTAGATCCATTAGCACTGAAATAATTCTAATTATCCAATTTATTCATTGTGTTGCTTATTATAAGAACTCTTGGTGTAGTCTATCACTCTTGATTATTAGGGCAAGATCTCATTATTATTACCAGAGTCTTGGGCATACCAACTAATTAATAATTTAGATTAGTTTATATAAAAGGTCCTGATATCTTTTTTTTTTTTTTTTACTTGTGGTTTTGGCAAAAGTTTTGAGATTTGTTAAATTATCCAGACTGTGCAAAGACTGTTGCCTCATTCAGTTTACTCACATGGCTTGCAGTATAAACAAAGAATGAGTAGAACAGAGCAGTGAGACAACATACTAAATTTTATAACATGAACTAACAGTAATAAAACATTGATTTAAACCAGCAAGCTTAGAAGTAGGATGTTTGTCTTAGCAGTATAATTGTCTTGATGTTTGGATTGCTCATCTGGGAAAAATATTTGCAGATTTATAGACCGTATAAATTATAGGCCGTATTTTAATATGTAACAATGTGAGGCCTGAGAATGTCTGATGATAATTTTGTATTGTTACAGAACACTTTGTTTGTATCATAAAAGTGCTCTTCACCTTGTTGTACATACAAGCTCTAGTTGCACTTTCTGTGAAATGCAGCCCTGAGGACAAGATGACTTGGATGAACTCAGGAGCTCTGGGAAAGGTTGGTTTATTTAATAAAAATCTGAAGAAGACGGCTAAGCAGGTAGTTCTCTCTCAGTTAAGCACCAAATCAAATGGTTTTGTTGGAATGTAGCTGTACAACTTTGCAGGGCTTTGTAGTCTAAGCCTGTCTTGACTGGTCTTGGAGTATTTGAGTTGAATGAAAAGCAGGATCCTATCCCAGCCATAGCAAGTTGCTCCCCACGATCCATGTCTGCAGTGAAGCATAGATCTGAAAAGGCTGTGCTGCCTTCCTTTTGCTTATACAGAAGAGAAGAAATGCAATCATAAAGGTGGATATAGGGCTCTTAGCTTTTGTGATAGGAAAATAGAATAATGGTCTAACTGCTATCTAGAGTTAAATAGATTATTGCATGAAAGTATGGTGTACCTTTCAGCTGATTTTTAATATATATATATATTGCTATTGGGACAGCAGTGCAAAAATAGTTTTTCCCCCAAAATGTAAGGCACAGATAGAGTAAACACTTCTGAAATATTTTAAGGGCTTATCTGTGATGGTTTTTAAAAAAATATTTAAACATGCTTAATTGTTACATTGTTATTACATTATTTAAAAAATCTAAAGCAATATTTACAAAGCCTTATATCCAGAAATACTTTTAATTTTGATTTCTTTGTGTGAATGATGACTAATATGCTATTGGGGGATTTGCTTTTGACTGAACTGCTAGTCTACCTGGACAGAAATAAAAGAAGGTGATAAGTGTTGAAGACTTTTGAAATAAACCAAAGTAGCTGCATTACTTTTTTTTTATCCTGGCCATTGTGCTCTTGTTAGAATTTTTAGCAAAAGTTCAACTTTGAGTAGCAAACTTTGATGCAAGTTGCCTGATTGCTCCCAGATGGATTCTCCCCACAGCAGCATAACTTCAGTAATTCAGATATTGCTATATCTGAACTGTACTCTTGGTTTGTCACTCCCAAATAAGTTACTTCAAACCATGCTTCAAGAATGGACCAGGAATTCTGAGTTAGATAGGAGATCAGGGTTTTTCCCTCCATAGGGCATTCCTGGGTATTGAAGCCCACCATGGAGTGGGAGTGTTTGGTTAGTGTATGGCAACTCATTTCCTCCTCTAGAATTCTCATATCATTTTGTGTGAATGCAGTCATTGTTTGTTGTACATTTTGATTCATAGACATTGTTAAATAAATAAATAAATGTTGCAGTCATACCACAACAGGTGTTGCCACTTAACTTTTACTCAGTTTTTGAAATATCCAAAGGCTGAATAGTCATAACTGTTTTTTAAAAGATAGTTATAAAATACTACCCCAACATAGAGGTGGATGAAGTAGAGTGTTCATCCCTTTTTTCTCTTGTTTATTATTAAGTTTCTACCCTTCTGTTTCTACATGGACGCAGATGACTGGTGCAATGTATCGAAAGCCCAACCATCAGTTCTTATGCCCCCACTGCCTTCACTTCCATCCATCCTGGCTTTGGTCAGCTGGGGTTATCCATAATGTTTTCAGTAAGTTAGTAAGCTGTAAAGTTATGAACCTCAGTTGTATCCATGCCACAGGCAAACAGTAAGAACAGTTTGGGCACATTTTGGCCAGTCTGCCAACAAGCAGAACAAAAGCCTGGTTTTTCCCCAAGCCTGCTTGTGCTATTTTATGTAAGGTGGGGTCTCTAATCTAGAGACTATTTTCCAAGCCATTTTACTATTCTCTGCTTCCTGTCATCCAGGAACTACACGTACATGTACTGACCCACAATCAGAATGCTGTTTCTCAATTAAATAAAAATAGATACTACATTTGAATTTTGTTTAAATACATTATTCATTTTTAGACAAATGTTGATATTTTCTGTTGACTTGTTCATAAGTCACCTTGCTGTAGAAAGTTAGGAGGTACAGCCTCCCCCACCCCCAATTTATTATCCAGTTCAGAGCATTATGAATGCTTTAATGTATAAACACTTGATTTCTCTTGTGGGGCACATTTCTACATATGCAGAAGATTTGCATTCCCTACTGAAGGGAATCATGGAACCCTTCTTGGTGGGATTTATATGAACATGTTGAAATGTTTCTTTCCATTCGAAAACCCTATGTGGGAATGACTGCATGTATTTATTTTTCTCATTTGATGATGAATTTCTTTCTAATTACAGAGTATGATCAATGCAGAAAAATCTTGTCAGGTGTTACTGAGCCATGTGATCAGTGAACTTTTCAAAGGGAAGGTTTATGAACAAGAGCAAGAGGAAACTGAAGATATGGTATAGTATATATGTATTTCCTTTGGTCAACCCCAGCTTTCTTCAGTGCCAACTATATCTGATTATGAAATTGCAGGTGTGGTTGTCAGTACAATAGCTAAACAGGGCAGTTGGAATAAAGTCACACTGTTCTGTTCTTTCAATTTAGGATAGCTCTAGTGCTTGGTGCCCACACTCCATAGAGACGTATGTGCAGCAATTCTGCCTGCCTTTCCTCAGGATAACCAGCCTTCTTCAGCATCATCTCTTTGGAGGGGAGCTACCTAGCTGTCAGGTATTACGCAATTTTATTTCCATTTTGAATATAATGTATCTAGCCCTTTCTCTTTTTGATTGTTTGTTTCTTTAATAGGAAGATGAAGAATTTACTGTCCTTGCCAACTGCCTGGGTTTGCTACCCTCTTCTTTTCAGTCGTCGGAGTTTCCTAGTGCCTCTTGCCTTGATTGGCCTGTGTCAGCCTTTGACATTATATCCCAGTGGTGTTCTGAATTGGTCTCGTTTGCCGACAAGCATCCAGTGCAAGTCAAGGTAGGTAAAGAATTTGCCAGATTTTCATCAGGAGAAGTCTGGCAGCCCCTTTCCTGACTAACACATTTTATCAGAAGGCACAAACTTCGGTGAGCTGTAGGATTTCATCTGATATTTCAGATGCTGGAACCCGTAAAAGCTTATGGCTTTTAATAAAACGTGTTAGTTGGAAAAGATGCTACTAGACTCCTGATATTTTGCCACCACAGATTGGCAGAACTCTCCTTTTACAATGCCTGCAATGAGAAACACCAGATTTTAATATAACACTTATCCATTGGGTTACCTATGTAGTCAATGACCTTTTTTTAGCAGGTCAGTTTTTGCTTTGAATGTGCTGTAGTGTCAGACTGTTTTCTACTACAGTTATTTCATTCAGGATTACACACAGTAACTGCGTAAAGCAAAAGAGGAAATTAAGTAAACTTATTATAAAGTATTTTCTGGAAAAAAAATATAAGGCACCTTTTTAAAAAATAGATCTACAGACAACAAAGTGATTTAAGTAGATGGGTTGAGTATAAAAAACAAAACAATTGAAATATTAATTTCTCTGAAGATGATGGTTCTGAGTACAGCCCTCTTTCATTACTGAACAACCAAAGCTGGGACTGGGCTGGAAGAGAGTGTGTGGCCCCAAATGACCTCTGGGTCACTTTTTGGCTAGTTTTCTTCCTTTTTCTATAGAAGAATACCTAAGTGTTTCACCTTGACAAACTCAACAGATGCCAACTTAGTTTCAGAAGGAAACAATTGCATATTTGGAGCATATAAACATTTGCCAAAGCATATTATTTAACTTTTCTTTTTTTAATCTTTTTCAGATCTTACTTATACAAAAACCTAACTGGGACTTACCACATCTCCTACAATTGCCTGAAAATTATAATGCTGTTTTCCAGTACTATCACAGAAAGAGTTGCTCGGTCTGTTCCAAAGTACCCAAAGATCCTGCAGTTTGTTTAGTTTGTGGTACTTTTGTGTGTTTGAAAGGACTTTGCTGTAAACGGCAGAGCTTCTGTGAATGCGTCTTGGTAAGAGACTCTTAATGTTACTGTTCTGTTGCCAAAAAGTATTTTGGAAAGGAAAATACTTCTAAGAATGCATCAGTTGAATTGCTGGGTTCCAGCAGCTTCTTTCAATCAAGGAATAATTGGAATAAATGAAAAACGAATATATTTTGGTAAACCTAGTTCCAGATCACTAAAAGCCTAGAAGACAATTTGTTTGAATCAGTTTCTGTTTTAAAGCTAAATCATCTATAATGTGCATGCTTGCCTTTGATAATAAGGCAGATTTTGGATCAGAAATACGTTCATAGTTTAAGTCAGAAAAGCTACTCTACAGATGCAGAAGAAGCAAGGATAAGATTATTCTGAAATGATGCAGTTATTCATTAAAGCAAAATATTTTTCTCTTTATTGTAATTGTACTCACGAGAAATTTCATCTGTTGTTTCCTCTGCTCTGTAATAAAACTTCAGCACTCGCAAAATTGTGGAGCTGGAACAGGTATCTTTCTTTTGATCAATGCATCTGTAATCATCATAATTCGTGGTCATCGGTTTTGCCTTTGGGGTTCCGTTTACCTGGATGCTCATGGTGAAGAAGACAGAGATCTCAGGTAATTTTTAAAAGATGGATAATAGGCATTTGTGCGAGTAATAACCAACTTTTATTTCTAAACAGAGTTCTGTTGTAACAGTTTAGGTCTGTGGCTAGCTGAAGAAAGATTTGCGTGTGTAAATATCACAATTCCACAAGAAGCTGTCAGGCCATATTGTCAGATTGTTTTTTAAACTGTTTGGATTTAAAAGTAGCTTGCAAGCTTCTGTGGACATCCATTGGGAGGGAAACCTTATTCATGAATAACGTATGCAACTTGGGGGGCAAAGAAATAAAAAAACAGATGACTGCTTTTCAGAGTTCACTGGGCAGCACATGGGTGGGGCTCTGTGGTGGCTGCTGGAAAATGGGGCATAGGCCGGAGTGAACACTCTGAAATGGTGCAAGTGACCCAAGTGATAACTTCGGAGAATTATACCGATAAGAGTCAATGAGAGATCACTTGGGGTTCCCTGCAGGGTTCCAGACATACACTCGTGGGGGTGGAGGGTAGGGTACGGTACAACTCGTCTACGTCGTCT